TATTGCAGATTATTTTTAGTAAAAACTTTCAATCAATGGACATATGATGAATAAATCAAATAGTTATTTAAATCCTCAATATTAACATAATTCCTACACAGCTTGTATATGTCATCAACGTAATACTTCGGAAGGAATGTATCCTAGATTTATAGATGATGAGTTCTATGACAACAAACTAATTGGATTTGCATGCCATGTCTATTTGGAGAAACAAAAAAGCTCCTTCCAGAGAATTTATATTCAATTTTAAATTGCAAATGGAACAGAATGATTAAAATGGAAGAATCGTAAGAATAGTAACAACTTCTCTAAAAAAAACCAATGATTTTTTCTACTTTATCATTCAAACTTTCTTCTCCGAATGTCTTTTCAGAATCAGTTATTAAACACAATGGAGGAGTTAATTGGGACCGGTATTTACCGATGGTGGCGTAGTGATCGCCCTCATAACATGGACGACCGGTGGTTTACCCCTTCAAACTTGTTCAAACCCTCACTATGTAGTTGACAGTAGTAGTTCCCCTTCAACTCATTCATTTCAGTATTGTTTTTTATTGTTGTACTCGAAGTTCCGATGTTGTCATATTTTAGAAAAACTTGAGGATTTGGAAATTAATTGATTGAAGTACCAACGATAAACCATCGGACGGCCATTTTTCTTAGTGCAGGCAATACCCACCAGATATCGCAGTGATTTATAGCGTCCCCAATCGGTTGTAAGATCTGACGTGACTTCGCATTTCATCCTTGGGTAGAACTCTACATGCGCCGCCGGGCTTCTTTCATGACGCAATACCCTCGCTGGATTAATTCGCCCCCAGAATTCATTCAAAATTAATCTATTCCATTGCACTGACGGCAATGATTACGAAGAAGATGGAGAATAAAATAATAATAATAATAATAATAATAATAATAATAATAATAATAACTGGCCGAGATGATCAGTTGGCTGGTGATTCATTAGCCTTCATGGCCAAATCTCGGTGTTGGAAATCCTGTCAGCTGACAGGTCCCTCACACTAACGCACGCAAGGCTCATCCATTCTCTCCCCACTCACGCACACCTGACGCGCTCACCTCAGATGACTGGGGGTTATTAATTCCAGCACCTGAGGCGCCACTTCCTGGACCGCTCTAAATTACCATATGATCTACATTAAATTAGGTCATGTGACCATGGAATTAGGGCACGTGGCACCTGTAAGCCCGTGTCTCTCTCTCATTCGTTTCCGGGATCGAGTTATAGACACTTCTTTTATTGTACTGCTTTTCTCTAGTGACTCGGATTAACTCATTGTGTCAGCTCAATTATTATCAATTCAAGGAATTAGTCGGCTCATTATTATCGGTCCGCTCATTATTACGGTTTATCAGTGACTCAATTAGTGACATTTAATTATTGTGAATATAACTTTGACAAATACAGTGAATTTGTGACCACGTGCACGTGTTCCGCTCATTTCTTGGTTCTACTCATCCCACTCCCCGTAATCCGACTCCAACTCATCCATCCGCACAATTAATTCCCCGATCCAGGCATCTCATCAAACACTCGGCGTAGAGCGACCATCAAGGCAGCGGAGAAGTCCACCTTGTTTCGCCAGCATGTTGATAGGCCCATGCATGGCGTATTCTTCCGCCATGTGGAAGAGCAGGGTCTCTCCGTCCAGCTGACATTCTCTTTCGTGAAGTCAGCTGGCTTGATGTCCGAAACTGAGGGTTTCATTTGCGCCTGCCAGGATGGTGTGGTAAACACCCTAGTCTATCGAAGTCGTGTTATGGGGTTGCAAGTTCCAGACATTCGATGTCGGGCTTGCAAGCAGTCCCCGGAAACTCTGATGCATCTTTTATCGGCTTNCTCTGATGCATCTTTTATCGGCTTGCCCGACATATGCCATCACGAGTTATATCCATCGACATAATGCGGCTTTGAGAGTGCTGTATTTCCATCTACGGCACTCTTATGGGATAGACAGAACCCCACTGCTGCCGTATGCTCCAGGAGATATTGAGTCCGTTGTTGTGAACGAGGTGTAAGATTTACTGGAACTTCTCGTTCACGACTGTCAGGCCAATCCTTGCGACAAAACCTGACATCGTGCTCTCCGATTTTGATGACAAAATCATCAATGTCATTGAGTTCTCAGCTCCGGCTGAGAGGAACATCACAGTGAAAGAAGAGGAGAAACGGCTCAAATATCAATCACTCCTGTTTGAGTTACGTCAAATAAACAGAGGATTTAAAGTAAAGTTGGTTGTCCTTATCATTGGCTCTCTGGGGGGAATGAAGGAGTCATTCATATCTGCGCTCAAAACCATCCCGGCCTGTAGGCGTCAAGCCTTCAGTTTGGCTGGCCAGATGCAGAAGGCAGTCATCCTCGGGTCCCTCCGTCTACTTAGGCAGCATGATTCTGGATTGCAATAGAGCTCACCCTCTGGTTAGAGGGAGCACTATTGCAGAGCGATTAGGAAATGTTTGTATCGCTTAGCTTGCTGGGCGGTCTTTGAGGTGAAGTCGGAACCCTCGAGGATCGTTCAGCGTTCTCATTTACGAGTAAAAAAAAAATAATAATAATAACAATTACAATGCTATCTTTCCCATTCGACACCTATTTTTCTTTGTTTTCTGACTGGATTTTTTGAAGAGAATATGGGTTATGAGCCCCAGATAACTAAAATCTCAGTTTCTTCTAATTGATATTTCAGTTACGCATAACAGGTTTGCACATGTTCTCTCCTGCACTGATAGAAAAGGTGGAACGATTCAGTTGCAACAAACGACGCTTCTTAACTATTACCGCGATTCGTTAATAGTTAACGAACGTGACGTTTGGTTCGACTAAACCGTTCTATCAGTGTTATGCTTAATTTTTCAGAAAATTATAGAATATGTTTATGTCACGAGTTTATTCGTTCAAAGTGAGATCGAAATAATTCTTTTCAATGATAATTGAATCAATTTGAACCTTTTTCTTCCATTCGAATAATGAGTGAAAGTAAATTTCCCACAAATATGAAAATTGTTGTTTGATCGTTCTTTGATTGTTTTATCAAAAAATATCTCAACTATCAGAAAATTTCGATGAAATATTATTATGAGAATTTTCCGGGGTTGGATTTTAGCTAATCACAGCGCAGTATTCGAGGTCACGATACTTTTTTGTCATCAAATTTTTTCGGAAATTGTACACTAGCTTCTGGAAATTGCGTCTGATAATTGCATAGTAGCTATTCATTTATTTCTAACCAATTGGATGTTTTGCTGGAAGAAGCCCTCGAATACTGTGCTCCGCTTAAAAAAAATCGAGTCCCGCAAGTTTTGCAGAAAAATCCCTCGTGCTGCGCACTCGGGATTTTTAGCCTGCGAAACTTGGCACTTTCATTTGTTTCCAACGAAGCTATCGGGAAATATTCCGATAATTTTGAAGGTCTCGGGGCATTATAGCTGAATATTTCATTTATACATAATTGAATGCATTCGAAAGATCAAATTTAAAGGAACCATCAGAAAGCTCACTTTCAGGGGAATTCATGCAAAATTCGAAATTTCCTAAAATTATCCTAAAAATCAAATTATACGAGACAATTATTGTAACCACCTTTTAACTTCATCATAGTCGCATTGAAACAAACATATTAAGTTATGATTGAATTCATTTGAACCGCAATATCCAGAGATATCTGCCAAATTCTGGTGTTCGAAATATAATGAATTCAGAATTTTTTTTTTTTGGTTATCGTGTTACAACTAAATTTTGGAAAAAAATCGAAAATTAAAAAAATGAATCAATGAATTCAATTTTAATTGATGGCGATGGATAGGGCTTAGCAATACCTTCATTTGAGAAAAGAAATTATTCACTTCCATCGATTCATTAGCGAGAACGTGACGAAAAACTTTGTCACATACATACATGCATACATACATGCACACACATACGGACTAAAAAATGCATTTTCGAACTTTTTGGATCATAATAGGTCGATATAACAGAAAAAATCCAAAACTTAAATTTGAACGATTACAATGCTTTCATACGGAAGCAATAGTTGGAAAATTTTTCGCTAGGTATGAAAATAACACCTAATTCATAGATAATGCAGCTCAAGTAAAAAAACTATCATTTTGACCCTAAATCGACAGATACGATTTCTGAAAAACGTAATGGAGCAGAATTTGTTTTTAGTACAATAAAGCACTTTATCATTACATTAATAACCGCTATATCTATATTCGCTTTATTATAAATAAATGACAACATTGTCGAGAAAAGGCCGAGAATTATTAATTTATACATCTAATAATTTACTAGTGCGTTTGGTGACCCACCTTACGCCGGTCCGATTTTCTTCATGTTGAAATTTACATTTAGGCGATAAATGCTAGAAAAGTTCAAAATGTTCTGAAATATTGTCGGAGCACCTAGAGAGTGCATTGATAATAAAAGCGTCTCGTAGGTAAGTTCTCTAAATCAGTGAAGCAGTTTTTATACATTTTTCGGGTAATTTTAGGATAAAATCACGCAAAATTAATGTAAAATTTGCTTCGCAAAAAACCGTTGTCTCGGCCTGGACCTTTTTATAAATTTCTATAACCTTATGAACCCATTCTCCATTGAAAAATTGTAGTTTTGAGGACAATTGACGAACTTTTCAGGAGATTCTGTACCGTTCTGGACCTTTTTTGAACTGAGAACGGAAAAACGGACGGCTTAAATTATATAGAGTAAGGTCTAGAGGAGAGTGGGGTAAAAGGAGAGTGGGGCCCTTTTGATTTTTTCAAAAATGTTAACAGCTCATTCAATTTTGAATAAAATGGAATAATTTTTTTCTATGAAAACTACACTTCTTCCCCTTTAGAATGAGCCTAGAGTGATCTCAATTAATGAATTTGTTTCTGAGTTATGAGTATCACGAAAAAGTCAAATGAGGCCGTTTTACCCGACTCTCCCTTATATCAAATAATAATGATAAATTCACATTCTCTCTTTTACCTTTTCTGCTGCTCCAGCACCTCCCCCAGTATAGAAATCAGTTTTTCTCGCCAAGAAACTAAAGATTGTATCCAAGAGCTTGAAGAAAATCAAAATCAATAAATCAGTAAAATGTAAACTAAGCTCTCCAGTATGCAATATTCTTCGAAAAATTAAATTTCAACAAGGAATAGTCCTCTACGAATCCCCCCACACCCGCGTCACTATAAAATTATTCCTTGTTGCATCCTGGTATTTCTTGTTGATTACTCCAAGTATCTTCGAGTTTTTAGTGTATCAATTTTGATTGATTGTCATGGAATTTAGAGGTTAATCAGAATCGATTAAGAATTACTCACGTCCTGGACACCTCCCTCATGCTGCTGGGCCATTGCCAACAGCATTCCATCAAACTGCTCCTCCTTCGACATTTCTTTGAACACTCTTGATATATTATGCGATAATTAAATGTTCAATAAATTCTGGATATTATTCCTGTACGTTGTATTCGTTATTTCGTCTGTCGACTGCCTCCTTGACGTTACGGGCATGGATTAAGGGCTAACGCACAATGCAAAAATCAAAGAGGATAGACTAAAGTAGAGGCTCAGATCTCGGGGTTTCGGTGACTCCCAGCCAGAATTAGTACGACCCCAAGGGAGGGATGGCGCCACGGTCGAATCTGACGGCTGGGTGAGCTGCCTGTGCCGGTAACTCGGCAGTAATATAGTTCTAGCAGAAGTTTCTCCTTCCCAGGGTACCCCCACTCCACGTGATTCCTACCTGTATCCGTGTCTCCCACTCCTGAAAACGAACGGAAAGATTCTACTTTTCTACTGGAAGGGCTATAGTAGTCCCGGGGGGCTATTCTCACCAAAAAGCCGCTTTTTCCGCCGCTTTTTCGAAGCTGCGATTTTCCTCTGCGAGGGGGCGACACGATACTAAATGACACGAAATGATGGTTTTGCGAACGCATTATGCGCAACTGCCCCTCCATTTGTAATTTTTAATTTTGGAGCAGCTGCAATTTATATTGGAATAAAGTGTTAATCCACTCAAATACGTGTTACAAATGAGAAAAATACTTGACTGATCAATTAGTGAATAGAATTGACTACCTATCGACAACTGAGAGTTGATATTGATGCTGGTAAATATCTGAGTTTTGATTTTTGATGTCGGAGCGAAACTGGAAGAGTTAATGGATCAGTGAATGAGCGGTGAAGAATAAGGGGTAGAGAAAGTGAGAAAATCACTTAGAGAGCGAAATTCGTTGAGCCACATCTGCGGGGTAAATATAATAATCAGCAGGTAAGTGGTTGAAGTGAGGTCGCCTCGATAAAATGAAGTAGGGGCGAGTGGGGTACCTAAATGGGTTGTTTCAATTGTCACTCACTCGAGATCTGCTGAGTGACATTCAATTAACTTTTCGCGATTCCCAAGCTTTTTCTTTGAGCTAAAAAATGAGATCAAGTTCATCCAAATCATATCGTTTGGTCAGCAAATTATACGGATTTTATGATTCTTTAATTCCCCACTCCCCTCTAATTTATTGTTTCTTTTACGATTTGAAAGCAGTATTCCCATGTTTTGTGTTTTAGGCAGTTTGAGGAGAGTCATGGAGACACGTTTTCCAAAAAAAAGAGTTTCTCTCGAACGGAGATTAGATTGTCATCATAGATTTCGGAAAAATCTACTAAAGCATAAAAATATAATCATGGAACTGCTTGAATCTCTATATCCGTTGTCAATGGATTTAATTGCAAATAGTAAAAGGTAGGATAAATACAATTCCCACATGTAATACCTCAAGACCTTCAAAATTATCGTGTATCTCCCAATAGGTTCATTGCAAGAAAACGAAGAAGTCAATTCCTTTCGTGTTGGAATATCACGAATGCAATGCACGAGTGATTTTTGCTGAAAAACTTGACGACTTCGTTTGTGTACAGAGAACCTTCAAATACCCGATCAATTTTGAAGCTCGAGTGGGGTATTCGGGCGGTTATTTTTCCATCTAACTTTCGGCCAAGAGAATTTCACCTTGAGACAAAATCCATCTGTCAATTTCAAAGAGGGGTTTACTCGACCAGAAAATCATTTGTTTTTCTTCTGTAGGCAACATGGAAAATTACCAGTGAAATTATCAAAAATTATCAGTTGAATTTCGTGTACGCTATCCAAAATAATGACCAATGCTGCAATTCTATTGACTGAAATTTGGATTGGAAAAATAACCTAAATAATTCGACGTTCGACGAAAATAATCGATTCGATAGAAGTCATTTTTAAAGTAAAGTCTCTTCCATTAGCTCCCTAATAATTATTACATCAAAAGGAAAAGCAACATATCTGTATAAAAACAATTTGTACCATCTACAAAATAAAATTTCTGTTCATTTCGATTTTTAAAAATGTAATACTACAATTTATGATACTAGGTGAGATCAAGCGTTGTTGACTTTCTTCGTTTTGATCTTTCTAGTGTGTTGAGGTTAAAGAACATGAGATCAGCACAACAGCCATCCATTTCTTTTTTTTTCAATTTTGTTTGTTTTACTTGTATTTGAAAGCTAATAATTATGAGTCCACCACCAAAGAAGAAAAAAAAGTAAGTTCATTGATTTGAAACTAATATCTCAAGATATTAAAGCTTATTGCTATGAATAATAATGATAAAAAACATCTATTTGACGTTTTGAGATTAACAGATATGTGAATTGTAATATATAATTAGGAATATTCGTGGCAAGGCCATGAACAAATTACGGACAATGAGAAACTATGGAAGAGCTGTGAAAACTGTAAAGTAATAATAATTTATTCATTTTCCGGGATGATGAACAATCATCGTTGACATCAGGCCATATAAATGCGAATCAAATTGAATATTTTATCAATTATATGGCTACACATACGAATTTCGCGAATCGTGGAGATTTAGGCATGCAAAGCAATGCAAAATATGTATCAATGTGGGGAGAGTACGTTTGTACTCATTTATTCATTTTGAGTACACAACTGTGCATTGAGTAACATCTCTAAAATAACCTCAAATATCTTTTTTCACAGCTTAACTGCCAAAATCTGTGTGCTGGAGGCACCGATAAAAACTGCAGCGCAGTGCATGACAGTAAGCCATACCAATGCGTCTATAATACATGTACAATCCTACGAAACTAGTGAGCATGCAACTGTCCCACAGGCATATTTAGAATTACCGTCATCAAACATACAATGAAGAATGCAATGAAATTACAAATAAATTTTCATTGACAATTTGTTTCGTAAAGTTTCCCATTTCATCTTGTAATGCTTGGAAGGTGCGGAATATTCTCTGACTTCTCTGGGTTGAATCCATCATTCTTCATCTTAATTTCTAGACATGAAACAAAGTGTAGACGTAGAAGACTGACTCTTTTCAATGTATTCAGTAGATTTCCGCGGTAATGAGAGGCGTAAGGATAAATTCTCAAAAGAGTCTTTTCGAAGAAAATTTCGTAAGGGTCAAAGAAAGTCTATCGACCCTTTGTCGTGAAATGACAAGTTTTCAAGATAACTCTCGAAGCATAACTCACGATGGAACATTTCATGTTTTACTTAAATCCGGTTACGACTTTTCTACTGAATGATATTTTCTACATGAAATTGAAATTTTATGCTGGATGAATGTCAATGTTGAGTTCATCAAGTGCAGATGTAGTAGAAAGCATTATTCTAACGTAATAATTCGGTTATCTGAGTGATCAGGGGGATGAGGGGAAAATGTTGAGAAGTTTTCGATGTCATGTTTTGTCAAAGACGAAATTTCAAACTATGTCTTTTAATATTTTCGCCTAAAGTTAATTATCCCACTGGTAAATGCGTAATTGATCAAAATTTTTGTTCATCAAATATTTCATTCTCATTATTGGATCATTGCAGGTATGGAAAAATCTCAAGACAAAAGTTAAGACAAAGTACCAGAAATTATATATCGCAGATCGATCTACAGGAAATCCCACCGCTGCTCCTGAGCTTACAGATCAAGAACACAAAATTTTGTCTATAATTGGTAGCCAGTCAACTGTAGGAGTTACAGGGGTTCCAGCATCAGGATTCGGGCCATCAGGATCAGAAAACGATTCAAATGCCGTAAATCAGCAGTCAACAGTAGAACCCGGATCGTCCAAGGCTCCACCATTATTATACGTTCCAAAAAGTAAACCTATTGCACGACCGCTGTGAATTTTTTTTAATTCGAGTGACGTGGATTTATTTTTTGTCAGTCATTCGTGAAAATATATTTAGGACGCTAAAAATGAATAAAATTTGGAGAGATCACGACGTCGAACTGTTCGATAAATATCTCGCAGGTCGGTCACCAAGTGAGAATTACAGGGAAAAACGAAAGCCTAGATTTCGTCAGAAACGCATACGTGTATATGTTGATAAATACACGGAGGATGAAAAGTACATACCGCCGAAAAAACGAATGATCGTGGCGAAAAAAGAAAAATAAAGAGGAAGAGAATAAACAATTCGAGATATGTAAACTGCCAGATCTTTGGAAGACATACTCACAACTTAATATTCTTCAGGATAGTCTTCAGTGACGAGTTTCCACCGTTTTTCGTACAGTGCTGTGATTTTCCATTTCGACAAAAAGAACAAAAGTTTGAAAATGGTCGGGTCAGTCATCACTGAAATGGAGAGAACCTACGGGATGGTAAGTTTTTATTTATATTTTGAGTGATATTTTTTGTGAAAATTGTTCGGTTTTTTGTATAAAAAAAAATGTTCACATAGTTTTCTCGTTCATAATTTTCTGGGTAATTTTCTACAGTCCGATTCTCGTGCATTTTTTTGTGAGAAAGAAATTTTTGTTGTTTAAAAATTTTCAGCGTCAACTTTTTAGTTCAATTTTTTCCAAAATGTTTGCATTTTTTTTCGTTTTTTAAACGTCTCTTATGGAGTTTACATGTATTTCTCATTCGGTTTCCGTCTTATTTTTTTTCATTTTTGAATTTTTCTATTCCGGTTTTCGTCCAATTTTTCAGCGTCGAAATTGTTTTTGAAAGAAATGTTTTGTGAAAGAAATTTTTGCTCGCGTTTTCTATCGTTGAAATTTTTCGTGTTAGATTTTTTCGTTTTCGAATTTTTCTGTTCCAGTGTCGTCCAATTTTTCAGCCTCAAATTTTGAGTTGAATTTTTTCCAAAATGCGTGCATTTTTTTCGGTTTTTAAATGTCTCTTATTGAGTTTGCATGTATTTTCCATTCGGGTTTCGTCTCGTTTTTTTTTCGATTTAGAATTTTTGTATTCTGGTTTTCTTCCAAATTTTCAGTGTCGAAATTTTTTGTGAAATAAATTTTTTATGATAGAAATTTTTGCTCGCTTTCTCTCCCGCAGAAATTTTCCGTGCTGGATTGTTTTCATGAAAAACTTATTCGTCGCATTTTCCGTAGATTTTTTGTCAACCAAATTTCACTCGTTTTATAAATTTTCAGATGCATGCGACCAACTCTGTAGAATCTCCCATCGAGGATTTATAAGACCTCCACAACTTCTTCGGTGGGCTCCTATCATCTCAACCGCAGTACGGACAACTGGGACCTCGAGGAGTGGAAGTGAGGTGCCCCCCCCCCTCCCCGTCACGGGGAAAAACACAAAATTAAAAAAAAACAATTGTAATTCATTCGCATTGAGTTTTCAATTTTGAGAAATGTATTTGTAGAGTTAGGTTTTTTGAATAAAAACACGATATATCCTTCTTTTTCTTTATTTGAAAAACAAACCTTGAAAAATTTACTTCCTTGTAGCATAAGNCAATTGTAATTCATTCCCATTGAGTTTTCTATTTTAAGAAATGTATTTGTAGAGTTGCGTTTTTTGAATAAAAACCCGATATATCCTTCTTTTTCTTTATTTGAAAAACAAACCTTGAAAAATTTACTTCCTTGTAGCATAAGGATTAAAAAAAATAAAAAAAGTTCACATTTTCTCTTTTATTTTGAAAAGAAAAATTTACATTTACGAAAAACTTCCTTTTAATAACTTACATCTAATTATCATCTAAAAAAATATAAAATTCGCATAAATCTAAAAAAATGAGATTGAAAACTTACATGTAGCTTATATCTACAAAAAAAACTTACTTCTGGTATTAAAACTTAAATTTAGTTTACTTCTACAAAAAATTACTCTAATCCATAATCTAATCCCTATACACTAGNAAAAGTTCTTATTTTCTCTTTTATTTTGAAACGAAAAACTTACATTTACAAAAAACTTCCTTTTAAAAACTTACATCTAATTATCATCTAAAAGAATATAAAATTCGCTTAAATCTAAAAAAATGAGATTGAAAACTTACATGTAGCTTATATCTACGAAAAAAACTTACTTCTGGTATTAAAACTTAAATTTAGTTTACTTCTACAAAAAATTACTCTAATCCATAATCTAATCCCTATACACTAGNATTTACTTCCTTGTAGCATAAGGATTAAAAAAAAAAAAAAGTTCTTATTTTCTCTTTTATTTTGAAACGAAAAACTTACATTTACAAAAAACTTCCTTTTAAAAACTTACATCTAATTATCATCTAAAAAAATATAAAATTCGCTTAAATCTAAAAAAATGAGATTGAAAACTTACATACAGCATATCTACGAAAAAAACTTACTTCTGGTAGTAAAACTTCAATTTAGTTGACTTCTACAAAAAATTACTCTAATCCATAATCTAATCCCTATACACTAGCTTAAAAAATCGAAAGTATCTTTCATTCGTTTTACTTTTTCAATCGTCGGTTTCAAGCGCGCGTCGTTTTGTCTTATATCCGTAGGGGAGGGTTGCAGCGCCATTATCAAGCCTTCGTTTTGGGCCCGTCGCGCGGATAATCTTGCTCTCNATGACGTCATGGTACATTGTCCGTCGTATACCCTTGTAGTTGATCTGGTAAGGCTCTACCTCATCGACAACGAGGACACGAATCGAGTCGTATTGAATTTGTTTACGCGTCGCGTAATTAAGCCTAACCCCTTTCATTTTACTAACTTCTGCGATGGGTCCATCCGGTTCCTTCACACGATAAGTATAAAATTTAGGACCGCCTGAGATAAAAGACGTAATAAAACTTCCTTCTCTGTAGCCCTCGACTTCATCGGTCAAATCACCTAGAAAATTCCCTAGTGGTAACTCGTTACTTCCGTCGCTCACATAAATAACTGAGTCTATATCATAATACAAAACGCGTTCTTCCTGTTTTTCTAAATAAGAATATAATTTGAGACGTGCGTGAGCTGTTGTATAAGCCGCAATAACAACGTTGGCTTTGGTAGACAGTTGCGCAGCTTCGTTTAAATGTTTCCAGGACATGAAAAGAGTCTAGTTATCGACAGGGACGAGCCCTGTCACTTCGATTTCAGGATTGAACATTTTGTTAGCAAACTCCTCATATGTCCGAATAATTGCCTTTTTCGTTAAATTTTCTCTTTCCCCAAATTTACCCCAGAGACGGTTTAAACAAAGTTTTGCTACTGCTCTCAATCCAGCATTTTTTTGAATTTTATCCTTGTCGAGTTTTATTCCCTCTCTCGCCTCATATTCGGCTATATATCTATCCTTAGATTCATCATCTATGCATTCTGTCAACCAATCGGAAGCCTCTTGTTTGATTTTTAAAAAAGTGTTTATATACTCGGTAAATCAACCTCCTGTTCATGTCAGAGGATCATAACATATTGTTTTTTTATACTTCCAGATTTCGCTGATTTCCAAAATTTTATAGCCCATCTCCCCAGCTTTACGAAGCTCAGGGGCAACCCAAGTCCCCAAAAACTCGCGATCAGTGGGGTCATTATAAGGGCAATTGTTTTGCACCAGGTCGTCACAGCATGATCGGCACAAAGAGAACAGTAGCTTCCCGTGGGCCTTGACAGGTAGAACCGGATGAAAAGACGCCGTGGTGGTAAAATGCGGCATTTCACAAGTCACTCTATACGGGGGGGCGTGGTTTGTACTTTTACAACTCTACAGACGACACCATCTAGGGAAAGTTACCATCTAGTGAGAAACCTCGCAGAACGAGTCTACAGAACACAACTATACAGGAAAACGAGTCTGCAGAGAACAACGCCGGATTTTCATGTTCGGGTCGTCAATCGACGTCGGCATGGTAGAGATTGTAGACGGCATTCACTTATCGACCGTAATTTTAGAGAAATTTTTCCGCCGAGTGATGACGCCAAAGAGGATAGATCTGAGTAGAGGCCCGGATCGGGGAGTTTGACTGACTCCAAAAAAGTTAGTTGGTACCCCACCCGAAAGGCGGCGTCCCGGTCGAATTGTCGGTAAATGTGAGTCGGGTGCGTAAGTAACTCGGCAGTGGCAGTCCCGCTGGTACAGGGACAGATTCGGAGGTGAATTTTTGTCCTCCTTGTACTCAATGTTTACTTTGTTTTTCAGTTGATTTATTCGCCGACTAGTTAATATTAAGGGATGAAACAAAGACTGTTCAATGGAAAATTAAATTCCCCATCCATCAACCCCCGTTTCATCCCTTAATCTCTGCAATAAAAAAATTAATATTGCGACGAAAGTCACGGCGCTGTGAGAAACCCAATGTTTTCTCGGTGCAGAGTGACTCCCCATTAATTCGCCCGCTAATTAATAAATCGTCTCTCCCCTCCTAATTAACATTCAAGAATGAAACCAATGCTGTTCGATGGAGAATTGAATTCCCCACCCACCAACCCCCGTTTCATCTCTTAATCTCTCTAATGAAAAAATTATAACTGCGACGAAAGT